GCAGCGCACGCAACACTACATAGCGAGCCCGGCGACCCTCGCCACATGAAGGCTCCGCTGCACTTTTCTCGGGGGCCAGAGGCCCGCCCGTCGACGAGGGTCCCCCTCCAAGGAGGGGCAAGGGAGAGTGCCGCCGCGGGCGAGCAAGGGTTGACGACATCCTGAATTCGTCCATGTATCGCCCCCCCCCGCCTCATTCCTCGACTTTTCCCGCCCTCCTCGGTTCATGGCTGCTGAAAAAAATCGTTCGGAGCGGGGTGTCCTGTCAAATTCGCGCCGCGCTCTGGTTGTTTGGGTTTCTCGTGTTCTTGATAAGTCATGGGTTTTCGAAACATCCCTCGGAATGACCCCCATGGGCAGCTACCTCGGAGTGCCGTGTATCCGATTTGGGGGGCAAACGCAAGTTTTTGTTTTCCGCATCTCGGTCTGAATGCACTGTGGGCCCTTGATGCGTGCTTTGGGCGTTGTCGCATCATGCGGCCTGCCCTGGAGGGGGCCCCCCGTCCTCTGCGCCTCCGCTGCCTCCTTGCCCCTCCCTCTTCCAGTCGTTTTCGCCCACCCCTTTCAGCACCCCCCAACGCCATTCCTGCTCCCCCATGGACCCCCGTGCCCCGACCCCTTGGACCGAACGCCTGCCTGGCCCCCCGCCCGCCCCACGCAGCGAGAACATTGAGGAGAGGAGGAGCTAGAAGGGTTGCAGGGCGAATAGAACGAGCAATGGAGGAAAACAACGAGGAGGAGGAGGAGGATCATATTTTCCATTGAGGAACCCAGCGCTGCGCATGCTCTCTGACAAGCACAACGCCGCCCATGACCTTCCCCGCGCATGAGCAGAAACTCTCTGTTCACTTTCGCCTTTGGGACGGCCATGCGGCGGTGCCGACGGGCGCGGGCGAGCCATCGCAGAGGAACGCCGAATCAAACTCCAGCGCGCTCGCTGGGCCCCGCTCCCCGTCGGTGTTCCAGCCGGAGCGCGCCCGCCGCGGCAGGGCGCAAGGTTCTGCCGCGCGAGCGGGGTGATGCGCCAAAACCTTGACATCGGCGCGCCAGCGCCAGCTCCCCGCGCAAACGCCAGCCGAGACCCCGCAGCACGACGACAACCCACCCCCTACAGCAGGGCCATAACCCTGCCGACACAGAACGAACGGCGCCTCTATCCCCCACGCGCGAACGCTTGCAAGCGCGCGCAAGCTCGATACTGATCAGGGCGCTGACCCAGCCCATGCGCAAGTTGATGAAACAGTGCCCGCATCAAGGTGTCGGCCTAGGGCTGACACCTGGGCGCCGCCCCTGCTCCTACGGCAAGGCAACGATTCAACAACGCATGCCAAAGCGGCGACCCCGACCTTGCAACCCGGCGCTTGCAGTCCCCGCAACGGGGTGTCAGCCCAAACGCTGCGCCGAGGCGCCGAAACAATCCGCACGGCGGCGCGCGACGCCCATCCCCAATCACCAGAGCGCCACCCGAAGCACTGCAGAAAAACACCAGCCTGGCCCGCGCAGCAAAAAGCCAACGCAATCAAATTCGCACGCCGCGTGGACCTCGCCCACAAGCACATGCGAACAAGCTCGCGGAACGGGCCACTTGCGCGTGATAGCATGCGTAATGTGAGAAGTGAGCGGCGCGTACTCTGTGAAGTTAAATGCACTCTAGCATGTACTAGCCAAACCACCGCACGGCAATGCGCGCCTGCACAACGAAGTAAGCAAACAAAAACTGAAAAACAACGCAATTTCGTTTGGAATGGATTTCGGCGCGCTCCCCTTTTCGTCTCCAAAGGAAAGGCCACTATGAGTTCAGGAGAGCTGGCAAGAAGCGTCGCACTCAAGACAGCCCCGAGACCCCCAATAGGGCACCGAAAGACCCTCCGTAAGACCCTAAGATGCGCACGAGAAGGCCCCAAAGACGCCCCCAGGAAGCTGCAAAGCAGCCCCCAAGAGACCCCAAGATGTCCCCCAAAAGGCAACACTAGAAGAAGAAATAACGGCTGAACAATAAACTGTTGGCGCTCCGCGCGTATTCCTTGGATCTGCGCCGGACCCCCCTCCCTGGCGCGCGGAGCGCGCCAGGGGCGGCGCCAGAGGCGCCGCCAGAGGAGTCCAGCGCGGATGCAAGAAATCCGCGCGGAGCGCCAACAGTTTGTGTTTAAGCCGTGTTTCTTTTTCGCATGCAATCTCGCAACGATTCTTCTGCCGAATCTGTGCTGCAAGCAGCAGGATCTGCTGCCGGCTCGTCGATCCTGCGAAAGGTATTTCCCACGACGGGACGACCCCCAGGGTACATCGTGCTAGCATCCTGTCGGGCATGTCCTCCTACAGGCGGGTTTTGACACACAAATCCAACATAGCCAAAAATTTACCAGCCTGGAACATATCCCTATCCCTATGCTGGGCACCTCCTCATCACGATGCCAATCTTAGGGATTCCCTTGTTTTTTGAGGGCGAATCCCTGAGATTGTCATCGCCTTTTGGCGTGTCAATCGTAGGGATAGGGATACCTTCGAGGCTGGTTAAAATAGTCAAACGAGCACGAACGTCGTCCCCAGACTCAGGCTATGTTCGACCATTCTCGGATCCGCCAGCCCCCCCAGCGGGGCCGCTGGGCTGTGAGGGTGAAGATTGCAGCTCCCTGTGCCCGTTGCAGTTTCCAGTTCCCACTGTTACGAAGGGCTCCCAACTTCGCGCTTAGCGCTGCGCGGAGCGCGAAGTGCGAATAACTTCGCGCTCTGGCGCCGCCGCCCAGGGGAGAAGAGGAGGATGAGGAATCGGAGCCGAATCGCGCAGCGCGAATAACTTCGCGCCCTCGAGGGCGCGCTTGGTTACAGTCTTGCTTTTCTGCTTCCTCACTGCTCACTGTTGCTGAACACGCGAGGGCGGGGAGAACCAAACCAGTTATCTTACCACGCCCAGATCGCGTTGTCTGAATTCCTGGGGGGGCGTGGGGCACGAACAAATACATGAGATTCGCGTCCCCGAGACCATCATCCCTAGAACGTTCTACCAGATTCGCATCCCCGAGGCCGTAAACCTTTGTACATTACGCAATATTCGCGGCCCCGAAGCCAAGATCCTTGGTAAATTATGATGCAATGCTCGCGTCCCCGAAATTATAAATCTATAAAAAAAAATACCAGATTCGCGCCCCCGAGACCATAAACCTTCAGAAATTACAACGCACTTGCGCCCCCGAAACCATAAACCTTTGAACATTCTACAATGTTCGCGTCCCTGGAACCATAAACCCGTATAACTTACACCACACTTTTGTCCACGAGGCCACAAACCATCGCGATGACACAATACTCGCGTCCCCGAGGCCATACACCCTAATAAACTACATAACATTTGCGACCCCGAGGCCATACACCCTTGTAGATTATCCATCCTTGCGTCCCCGAGGCAAATCAAAATATCCCCCATATGTTCCCATATTCTTGGGGTCTTCGTCTTCCCCACTTCCCATAGTTTCCAATATTTTCTTGGGGATCGACGAGTCATTGTGTCGGTGTGTTTTTTCCCCTCTGGAGACTTAAGGGTCATCGTGCTAACGTGAGGAGAGCGAAATAATCCACAGGGGGGCCCCACGAACGGGCTTCCCGACCCAGGATCCGAGGAGTTACCGAACCCCGGCGCCCCCGTGTTTTCCGTAATTTCGGTCGGTTAAAATCAGTTTCTCGAGACAATTCGTTAGAATTCCAATATTTGTTCCCCCATCTTCGATCTTATTCCCGCTCACCATCTCCATCTCAGATCGGTCGGGTTGATATTACTATCAAAAGGCGGTCCACGTTTCGGCGCACTGACTTGTGAACTGAGGTCGGGCATGTCCCCCTACAGGCGGATTTCGGAAGAGAACTAAAAATAGTCAAACGAAGATGAGGGACGCGCCCGACTTAATTGTAAACCTCTCTGCAAACATGAGCTGGATCATCGGATCGGCACCACATTTCGGATCGGCCCTGGCTGACCCTGGCCGATGCAAATGAATCGAGCCGAATAGATTCGGATCGGAATCGCGGGCGGGGCCCAACTGGCGAATCGAGCCGCAGCGGATGGGATCGAAGGCGGTCCCGCCTCTGTGCACCCAGCCGCCTCCCGAGACGCTCTATCCTCATGGCCCTGGCCAGGTCCTCCTCTCCACGCTCCTCCTCCTTCTCCTCCTTCTCCTCCTCCTCCTCCTCCTCCATCTCCTCCTTCATCTCCCCCTCCTCCTCCATCTCCTCCATCTCCTCCATTCCTCTTCCCCCTCCTCCTCCATCCCCTCCCCATCCTCCCCCTCCCCCTGTACCTCCTACTTAATATCTCCTCCTTCTACTCCTCATCCTCCTCCTCACCATCATCATCATCATCATCATCATCATCATCATCATCATCATCATCATCACCATCACCATCACCATCACCATCATCATCATCATCATCATCATCATCATCATCATCAGCATGATCACCATCAGCATCATCACCATCAGCATCAGCATCAGCATCATCATCATCATCGTCATCGTCATCATCATCATCATCATCACCATCACCATCATCATCGTCATCATCATCAGCATCGTCATCATCACCATCAGCATCAGCATCAGCATCAGCATCAGCATCAGCATCAGCATAAGCATCATCATCATCATCATCATCATCATCATCATCGCAATCACCATCACCATCACCATCACCATCACCATCGTCATCATCATCATCATCAACATCAGCATCAGCATCATCACCATTCATCATCATCATCATCATCATCATCAGCATCGTCATCAGCATCATCATCATCATGATCAACATGATCAGCATCAGCATCATCAAAATCAGCAGCATCAACATCATCATCATCATCATCATCATCATCATCATCATCATCATCATCATCATCATCATCATCATCATCATCATCCGCTTCCCCCTCCGCACTTTCCTTCTCTTCCCTCTTCTTCTCCTCCTTCTCCGGCTGGCGCTCTGGGCCCGCGCGCGGGGCCGCGGGATCCTGCGGCCCCTGCTGGAAGGCCTGCGGGGGCTGCTGGCGCTGGCGGCCCTGCTGCCGGGCTGGGTCCTGCCCGGCCATCCGGGGGCGGCGGGGGGGGTGGCAGAATTGGACGAAGGGAACGCCATACACATAAAATGTTGGCGATCCTCGCGGACATCTGTAGGATAGCCCCGAAATTCGCTCCAACTCCCGGCAGGGTATCGAAGAAGAGAGACCGCCATGAACGCCATTCGGCACGAACGAAAGAGGGCGCGCCGCTGGATGGCCTTGGGACCCCCCCCCTTTCCCCGATCCGTCGTCGGGGAACCCCCCCCTCCCTCCCCTCCTTTCCCGATCCGTCGTCGGGACCCCCCCCCCACTTTTCCGGGTCCGTCGTCGGGGACCCCGCCCCTCCCGCCCTTTGGCCGCCAAATTCAGCCCCCCCCCCCTTTTCGCCACGGCGCCCCGGGTCTCCTAACACTAATCCTCACCTTTACCCGAACCCCTAACCCTAACCCGAAACCCGAGCCCCAAACAGTACTCACTACTCACTACGCACTACTCACTACCCACAATTCACTACCCGCTACTCACTACTCACTTCACACTACTGACTACTCACGACTCACTATTCACTACCCACGACTCACTACCCACGACGCACTACTAACGATTCCCTACTCCCCACTCATTACTTACGAATTACTACAAACGACTCACTACAAACTACCCGCTACTCAATACCCACTACTCACTAAACACAACAAACTCCCTACCCACTATTCACTGATCACAAATCATTACTCACTACCCTTTACTCACTGCTCACACTTCACTACTCACTACTCAGTGCCCATAACTCAATATTCACTATCCAGTACTCGCTACTCCCTATACAGTACTTACTCACGAATCACTTCTCACTACTCGCTACTCCCTACGCCCTACTTCCTACCCAGTACGCACCACTCACTACCCACTAGTCACTAGTCACTACGCTCCCGCTACTCACTACTCACTACTTCCTACTCCCTACACACTACTCCCAACTCACAAATCACTACGCACTACCCAGTACTCAATAATCACTACTCATTAAACACTACGCACTACTCACTAAGTACTACTCACTACCCAGTAACACCTATCCACTAGTTACCACTGAAAATTCACAATTCACTACTCGCTGCGCACTGCCCACAAATCACTCCTCACTACCCGCTACTCGCTACCCAATACGACATACTCACTACCCACTACTCGCTACCCACTCTTCACTACTCCCTATTCACTATTCACTAGTCGCAAGTCCCTATTCACTACTACTAAATACTCACTATTTACGACTCACTATTCACGACTCACTACTCATTACTCACTCATTTCTACTCGCTACTCCCTACTCACTAACCACGACTCAATACCCAGTTCTCGCTTCTCACTACTCACTACCCACTACTCACTACTCCCTACTCGCTACTCACAACTCACTACTCACTACTCGCTACTCGCCTCTCCCTTCTCGCTACGCGCTACTCCGTACTGACGAATGACTACTGACTCCTGACTACTCCCTCCCCACTACTCCCTTCTCACAACGCCCTACTGTCTACTCACTACCCAATACCCGCTACTCCCTACTCGCTACGCCCTACTCGCTACTCACCAGTCACTACTATCTACTCACTGCGCACTACTCACTCCTCGCTATTCGCTACTGTTTACTCCCTCATCCCTACTCCCTGCGTGCGACTCACTGTGCACTACTCAGTACACACTACACACTCCTCATTACTCACCTTTCCTTACTCACTATTTCCTTCCCACTACTCACTACCCCCTACTCAATACTCACTAATCTCTACGCGCTACTCACTACTACCACTACCCATTACCCAGTACTCACCACACACGATTCACTGCGCACTACCCAGCATCAAATATCCGCTATCCACCAATCGCTACTCCAAACACTCTACTTCCTACTCACTACCCGAGAGGCCCCCTCCACAGCCCCCTGTTCGGAGCAAAGGGGGGGAGGGAGAGGGGGGTTCGAACCCCCCCCTCTTTCCAGCGCCAAGGGGCGGGAGGGGGGGAGGGGTGCGGACCCCTCCCCCCCTTCAAGGGGGGGCGGGGGGTTCGGACCCCCTCCCCCTAAGGGGGTGAGGGGGGGGTCGAAAATCTCACCCCCCCTTTAAGGGGGGGGGGGTTCTGCGAGCACACCCCGCCTTTTGTGCATTCAGGGCCATCCACTGGCGCGCTCACTATATACGGAAAAAATGGGTACAATACCAAACAGCAGTTCGTGTTCATTTTGAACAGGACTCGCTGTCGGTGTCGTCGCGGCAAGTGTCCATCTGAGACAGAAGGCCGCCTGCCCAACGGCGGCCGCTGTTGGCTTCGGACAGTATTTGTTGTTGGGCATTGTACCAATTCTTTCCGTGCCCATTTCGGGCGTCCAAACATGAAGGGGCCCTGGGACACACAAATACATACACACAACTAAAAATACCTATACGACCACCCTGCGGGTGATAAGGAGGTTGTGGGGGGGTGGGGGGAGGGGAGTGGCTCATGACGACAACTGTGATGAACGTGGTGCTGATGGGCGATGATGGTGTGGATGACGTGGCTGATGAGCAACCATGATGAGCAACCGGCGGGCAACCGACGGGACAACGTGGGCTACCGCTTGACAAGGCCAGGGGGGGGAAACATTTGAGTTGGCGGACCCCTAGCGACTTCAGAGTGAATTCCTCTCGCTGGCCCACGCAGCTTCGCCTCGCCCGCACGCACGGCACGAGCACGAACTCGAAACTCGATTTCCCGGTGGGGGGACTCCGTTACACTGCGATCTCACCCCCCAACCTCCGATTTCCCATATTTACCAATATTTTCTGGGTTTCTGTCTTCCCCCCACTTCCCATAGTTTCCCATCTCTTCCTTGGAATCGACGATTCATTGTGTCTGTGTGCTTAGTCCCCTCTTGAAAACAGAAGCGTCCAGCACGCACGGGGAGCCCAGCGGCTCGTGCCTGTGAGGGACGTTGGCGTCGGTCTCTGGCAGCACGCACGAGGCGGTATGGGGGAGGGAGGACAGCTTCTTAGAAGGAGGCTGCTCCTTAGAAGGCGCCAGCCTCGAATCTACAGAGAGAGCCCAGGCCTTCTAGGAAGCAGGGGTGCTACCCCCTCTGCGCGTGGCCGAGGTCTCTGACACCGCGTGGACCGCTCGGCCCGAGGAAGAGGCCTGAGTCGCAGTGAACACGGGGGAGAGGAGGAGAGGACTCAGAGATCGGGGAGAGGCCGCCCTGTCTCGACCAGGCACCCATATCGCGTCCTGGGCGTGTCTGCACCGAGAGCTCGTTTGGCTGGCTCTTTTGGCACGAGGTTGGCCCACATCGCAGAAGAACTGTCGGCCACTATAACAAGGACGCATGATCAGAGTGCAAGGAACTTGGAAGGCCATGTCTAGAGAGCACAGAAAATCCCACCCCCCATAATTTCACCCCGACACGCAGAGCAATTTAGAAAACGCACCCAAAGAAGAAAACGAACAGGGCATTGCTGTTTAGTACATGCCCAGGGCCGTTTAATAAACGTTAATTATCGGGTCTGGGTGTATTATCCTTCCTTGAGTGTCGACACTTTGCGGGCGGGGCGCGGCCAGCGAAGAAGGCCGAGGATGGGCCGAAGGGGAAGGATGCTCATCCTTACGATGGGGGCAGTAAGCTGCAGGCAAGCAGCTGAAGGGCGAGACTCAAGAACACCTTACTTGGGGGTCGCAAAACCGTGTGGTGACAGACCCGGCGGCGACCTCGAAATCCGCAAAGACCTCACCGCAAGGTCCGTCACCACACGGTTTTGGGACCCTGGAGGCCCCAATCGCCCGAGACATCCTCGGAGAACGACCCGAGCCCCAAGACCGTGCGGTGACCCCGAATCCCCACCGACTCATCACACGGCGTGGTCACCACCCCGGTTGGGGGCCCCCGACTTACACTTCGACCCCAGACATACTCTCGGACTACGCCACTTCGCAACCTCCTCCGCCCAAATTCCGCCTCCCTCCCCCTGTCACGTCCCTCCTGGGCCCACTCTCCTTGCCGGGCCCACTTCCTTCCCCGTCCGCTTCCTCGCATGGGGGTCACTTCCTCTTCTACGTAATTACTGGTGGGCTTGTTTTCCACCGCCACCGCCAGAAGTAGGAGGGGGAGGGGGTCCTCCTCCTCCTCCTCCTCCTCCTCCTCCTCGTTCTCCTCCTCATCCTCCACCTCCTTCCCCTCTCCAACTTGTGGTGGTGGTGGTGGAAAACAAGCCAATCAGTTACCCACCGATCGGAAGAAGTGGATCGAAAACATGGAGTGGGGAGGCGTTGGGAGTAGATTGGGCTTCCGCCCGCCCCTGGAGGGAGGGAAGAGGGATGACCTTCTCGACCCCTGAAGTACGAATAAGCCTGACGTAGATTGGGACGTACGCATCCGAAACTGGGGAAACTGAAATTACCGCTGCCGAACCATGGACCTCTACTCTCTATTGGGGTGCGTTCTGACCAGAATTTCGATGCGAATCCAGCGGTGGCGACGATGGCCTCCGAAGAGGCCTGAACAGGGGAAAACGGAGGAAGAACTACGATATGGGAACCGATATGGGTACCTGTTCCTCCTCGGAACAAACGCCCGCTTTCAGCGACCGACGGGCACCCCTAGACATACCTCAGACTTCGACCGCACCAGCTCAACGCACGCTCGGCCCCGAAGCGCTCTCCCTGCGCGCCGCGAGCCCTCCGCGGAACACCCCGAGGCTCGATAACTGGCCGGCCCGCAGGACGCACAAGAATGGAACCGAACTCTATACACCGACGCATTTTCCGACCCCGCACTGAAATTCGCACGGGATCCTGGTGTACACATGTTTCGTTTTTTCCCCGGAGAACGAGGACAAAGGTATACACCACACCACCTCGACGTCGTCCCCGACCCTCGAAAAGCCCTGGGATTGAAAAACAGCCCGCCACTGCTGCTA